ACTCAAAAGTCAACTCATGGAGGGCGGAGTATGGGCTTGTGAAGAGGTCATGGCATATTAGGTGACTTTTGAGTCCACTCAAAAGTCAACTCATGGAGGGCGGAGTATGGGCTTGTGAAGAGGACATGGCATATAAGGTGACTTTTGAGTGGACTCAAAAGTCAACTCATGGAGGGCGGAGTATGGGCTTGTGAAGAGGTCATGGCACATAAGGGGACTTTTGAGTCGACTCAAAAGTCAGCTCATGGAGGCAGAGTATGGGCTTGTGAAGAGGTCATGGCATATAAGGTGACTTTTGAGTCGACTCAAAAGTCAACTCGTGGAGGGCGGAGTATGGGCTTGTGAAGAGGTCATGGCATATAAGGTGACTTTTGAGTCGATTCAAAAGTCAACTCATGGAGGCAGAGTATGGGCTTGTGAAGAGGTCATGGCATATTAGGTGACTTTTGAGTCGACTCAAAAGTCAACTCATGGAGGGCGGAGTATGGGCTTGTGAAGAGGTCATGGCATATTAGGTGACTTTTGAGTCCACTCAAAAGTCAACTCATGGAGGGCGGAGTATGGGCTTGTGAAGAGGTCATGGCAGATTAGGTGACTTTTGAGTCGACTCAAAAGTCAACTCATGGAGGGCGGAGTATGGGCTTGTGAAGAGGTCATGGCATATTAGGTGACTTTTGAGTCCACTCAAAAGTCAACTCATGGAGGGCGGAGTATGGGCTTGTGAAGAAGTCATGGCAGATTAGGTGACTTCTAAGTCGACTCAAAAGTCAACTCATGGAGGGCGGAGTATGGGCTTGTGAAGAGGTCATGGCATATAAGGTGACTTTTGAGTCGACTCAAAAGTCAACTCATGGAGGGCGGAGTATGGGCTTGTGAAGAGGTCATGGCAGATTAGGTCACTTCTGAGTCGACTCAAAAGTCAACTCATGGAGGGCGGAGTATGGGCTTGTGAAGAGGTCATGGCATATAAGGTGACTTTTGAGTCGACTCAAAAGTCAACTCGTGGAGGGCGGAGTATGGGCTTGTGAAGAGGTTATGGCATATAAGGGGACTTTTGAGTCGTCTCAAAAGTCAGCTCATGGAGGCAGAGTATGGGCTTGTGAAGAGGTCATGGCAGATTAGGTGACTTCTGAGTCGACTCAAAAGTCAACTCATGGAGGGCGGAGTGTGGGCTTGTGAAGAGGTCATGGCATATTAGGTGACTTTTGAGTCGACTCAAAAGTCAACTCATGGAGGGCGGAGTATGGGCTTGTGAAGAGGTCATGGCATATAATGTGACTTTTGAGTCGACTCAAAAGTCAACTCAAGGAGGCAGAGTATGGGCTTGTGAAGAGGTCATGGCATATAAGGTGACTTTTGAGTCGACTCAAGAGTCAACTCATGGAGGGCGGAGTATGGGCTTGTGAAGAGGTCATGGCAGATTAGGTGACTTCTGAGTCGACTCAAAAGTCAACTCATGGAGGGCGGAGTATGGGCTTGTGAAGAGGTCATGGCATATTAGGTGACTTTTGAGTCAACTCAAAAGTCAACTCATGGAGGGCGGAGTATGGGCTTGTGAAGAGGTCATGGCATATTAGGTGACTTTTGAGTCCACTCAAAAGTCAACTCATGGAGGGCGGAGTGTGGGCTTGTGAAGAGGACATGGCATATAAGGTGACTTTTGAGTGGACTCAAAAGTCAACTCATGGAGGGCGGAGTATGGGCTTGTGAAGAGGTCATGGCACATAAGGGGACTTTTGAGTCGAGTCAATAGTCAGCTCATGGAGGCAGAGTATGGGCTTGTGAAGAGGTCATGGCATATAAGGTGACTTTTGAGTCGACTCAAAAGTCAACTCGTGGAGGGCGGAGTATGGGCTTGTGAAGAGGTCATGGCATATAAGGTGACTTTTGAGTCGACTCAAAAGTCAACTCATGGAGGGCGGAGTATGGGCTTGTTAAGAGGTCATGGCATATAAGGTGACTTTTGAGTCGACTCAAAAGTCAACTCATGGAGGCAGAGTATGGCCTTGTGAAGAGGTCATGGCATATAAGGTGACTTTTGAGTCGACTCAAAAGTCAACTCATGGAGGGCGGAGTATGGGCTTGTGAAGAGGTCATGGCAGATTAGGTCACTTCTGAGTCGACTCAAAAGTCAACTCATGGAGGGCGGAGTATGGGCTTGTGAAGAGGTCATGGCATATATGGTGACTTTTGAGTCGACTCAAAAGTCAACTCGTGGAGGGCGGAGTATGGGCGTGTGAAGAGGTTATGGCATATAAGGGGACTTTTGAGTCGTCTCAAAAGTCAGCTCATGGAGGCAGAGTATGGGCTTGTGAAGAGGTCATGGCAGATTAGGTGACTTCTGAGTCGACTCAAAAGTCAACTCATGGAGGGCGGAGTGTGGGCTTGTGAAGAGGTCATGGCATATTAGGTGACTGTTGAGTCGACTCAAAAGTCAACTCATGGAGGGCGGAGTATGGGCTTGTGAAGAGGTCATGGCATATAATGTGACTTTTGAGTCGACTCAAAAGTCAACTCAAGGAGGCAGAGTATGGGCTTGTGAAGAGGTCATGGCATATAAGGTGACTTTTGAGTCGACTCAAAAGTCAACTCATGGAGGGCGGAGTATGGGCTTGTGAAGAGGTCATGGCATATTAGGTGACTTTTGAGTCGACTCAAAAGTCAACTCATGTAGGGCGGAGTATGGGCTTGTGAAGAGGTCATGGCATTTAAGGTGACTTTTGAGTCGACTCAAAAGTCCACTCATGTAGGGCGGAGTATGGGCTTGTGAAGAGGTCATGGCATATTAGGTGACTTCTGAGTCGACTCAAAAGTCAACTCATGGAGGGCGGAGTATGGGCTTGTGAAGAGGTCATGGCAGATTAGGTGACTTCTGAATCGACTCAAAAGTCAACTCATGGAGGGCGGAGTATGGGCTTGTGAAGAGGTCATGGCATATAAGGTGACTTTTGAGTCGACTCAAAAGTCCACTCACGTAGGGCGGAGTATGGGCTTGTGAAGAGGTCATGGCATATAAGGTGACTTTTGAGTCCACTCAAAAGTCCACTCATGTAGGGCGGAGTATGGGCTTGTGAAGAGGTCATGGCATATTAGGTGACTTCTAAGTCGACTCAAAAGTCCACTCATGTAGGGCGGAGTATGGGCTTGTGAAGAGGTCATGGCATATAAGGTGACTTTTGAGTCGACTCAAAAGTCAACTCATGGAGGGCGGAGTATGAGCTTGTGAAGAGGTCATGGCATATAAGGTGACTTTTGAGTCGCCTCAAAAGTCAACTCATGGAGGCAGAGTATGGGCTTGTGAAGAGGTCATGGCATATAAGGTGACTTTTGAGTCGACTCAAAAGTCAACTCATGGAGGGCGGAGTATGGGCTTGTGAAGAGGTCATGGCAGATTAGGTGACTTCTGAGTCGACTCAAAAGTCAACTCATGGAGGGCGGAGTATGGGCTTGTGAAGAGGTCATGGCAGATTAGGTGACTTTTGAGTCGACTCAAAAGTCAACTCATGGAGGGCGGAGTATGGGCTTGTGAAGAGGTCATGGCATATAAGGTGACTTTTGAGTCGACTCAAAAGTCAACTCATGTAGGGCGGAGTATGGGCTTGTGAAGAGGTCATGGCATATAAGGTGACTTTTGAGTCGACTCAAAAGTCCACTCATGTAGGGCGGAGTATGGGCTTGTGAAGAGGTCATGGCATAGCGGTGCTCCTTCCCTCATGTGACCCCCCATCCCTTCTTTTTTGCAATGCCCAATCTTTCCCCTGGATGCCACTGGTAGATGTTCAGGTGGTTGCACGCGCACACACACGTGCGGGGCAGAGCAGGTGCTTAGGAAGAGGTCTTGACATGTGTGTCAAGACATGAGTCGCACACACACACATGAGACGTCCACTTTCCCTCCTGGCATTTTCCCCTCTCTCCCTTGTATGCCATCAGAACATGTTAAAGTGGTCGCGGACACACACATGGGGGGGAGGGTAGCTTGTAATGAAGACTTGACATGAAGCCGCCCCTTCCTTCCCCCCTTCCGTTTGCCCCCTCTCCCTCTAATGCCATCAGAACATGTTTAAGTGGTCGCGGACACACACGTGGGGGGCGGAGTACGAGCTTTTAAAGAGGCTAAGGCAGCGAGGGAAACAACTCTCCTCCACCGCTCTCTTCCTATAGCAAGCGTGCTTGTAATGAAAAAAAGAGTGATGGTAGAAGGTGGTTTTTGTATTGTAGTCAGAAGAAATTCCATCTGGTTTGCAAGCACTCTGCTTCTTGATGTATCTCTTCTTTGCAAGAAATTCCATCCACGGTAAGCTTGGCTCTGACCCGCATCGTTTCTCTCAAGAGAAGCTTTTTGACTGCAGAAACATTGGTGGGGCACTTGTCTTGCTAGCTCTATCCCCCCCAACCATTGAATTGAAAAGTGGTCTTTTAACCCTCTTTTAACCCTCTTTTGTGTGTAATATGCTGTTGAGAATCCTAAGTGAGCACCTGGTCTGAGTGTTACAGAATCAAACACCCTTTAGCTCTTAAGTGATGATATGGCTAGTCCCTTCTCATACTCTTATACACTGCAGCAAGCACTCCCCAGAGCCCACATTTCCATACATTCATGTCGTACAGGTGGTTTCTCAGGCAGATTCAGGGTGCGTGTACTATTATTTTACCGTGGTAATTTCAGGAATCAAGCAGTCTCCGTCGTTTTTCTCCAGCAAGAGCTCTAATTCGTTAAACAATGGTGCTGTATGCTACCGGTAGGTTTCAACAATTCTGTAGAAAGGGGGGGGGGGGGGGGGGGTCTTTATAGTGCTTTCACCTGAAGCCTGCCAAAATCAATTGACCCACCCCCGCATCACAGATTTTGGGGTCTTGTATTCCGGGAGGTCTTTAATCAGGGCGGTTACGTTAAGCAAAGAGAAACTTTACAGAGCACATCTGTTACACAGCAGATGCGATTTCTTTATTACTAGGCAGCTTGTACCATCCCTTGTTCTTCGCTATATGAATGCCTGTTATAGGAAGAGAGAAGTCGAGGAGATTTGCTCCCCGCGCTGCCTTAGTCTCTTCAAAAGCTTATACCCTGCCCCTTGTGTGAGCGTTCTCGACCACTTGAACATGTGCTGGTGGCATCAAGGTGGGAGAGAAGAGGGGAGGAGATGAGGGGGAAAGGAAGTGAGGGGGTTTTACGGCGCCTAAAAAGTCTCTTCAAAAGCTCATACGGTGCCCTGCCCCTTGTGTGGGTGTTCTCGACCACTTGAACATGTGCTGGTGGCGTCAAGGGGGGAGAGAGGGGGAAAGAAAACGAGGGGGGAAGGAAGTGAGGGGAAAGGAAGTGGGAATGACATCAGTGTTGTGAAAGCTCTTGGGTGGGAGCTCCTTATATGGTACGCTCGTCCTCTCCAACCCATATGTGCCTGCATCCACGACCACTAGAACATGTACTTGCAGCACCAGGGGGGGAGAGAGAGGGAGGTGCGGAAAGTAGGGAGGAAAGGTCACAATAGAGCAGGAACCCTTTCAAGCCAAGACCTCGTTATAAGCTCATACCTGCCCCCCATGTGAATTTCCAGGACCATTCCAACCCACCGAACCCACTCCGCCGCACTGCAACCATTCTACAGCACTCCACCCCACTCAACCGCACTGCATCCATTCACCATCGCACTCCACCCACTCAACCGGACTGCACCCATTTCACCGCACTCCACCCATTCCAAACCCTGTTCCACCGAACTGCACCCACCTGCACTCTCTCCACGCCGCGCTGCAGCTGCTCCACGGGGGCGGTCTCTAGACGGGAGCGCAGCGAAGCAATGTCGTCGGGATCGATGTTGATGGAGAAGGAGGAGTAGTCCAGCTCATCGTCCCAGGGATTGTCGTGGTCTCGAAAGAACGTCACTGGGATGCACCCCGAGATGAGCGCCTGTGGTGGGGGAAGAGGAGAGTAGGGAAGGGATGGGGGTAATAGAAGCTGATAGCACTTAGCCTGACCTAAATGAAAATGAATTCCCCGAACAACTCGGGTGCTTCCTACCAACCTCCTCGGTTTTCCCCGAACAACCTCGAGTCCGGAAATAAGGCGACACTTCGGAGCACACAAACGAAACAAAGTTATAAAAGGAAAATGTAGCACGCCCAACTAACCACCAGCTTGACGTTAATAGCGCGACACATTGCGGCGCTACCAATTTTTCAAGGTGAGTGACTCAAAATCGAGTGATTCAACTTCTAATTAACTTTTCAACTTGCTGATTGTAGACGACATCAAAACGCTCCAGATCCAAAGTATAGCACGTCATTTCGTTCTGCGACCAGCGCGATTTCAAGGTTTGAAGCTGCTCTGCAAAAAATCCGTCTGTGCACTCCAACTTTCGTTTAAGGCACATTGGAGCCTATTGGGACTAGAACAAGCCCAACCTGGTCTTGGAGACACTTCAAAAGTGGATCCCATCACACCACACGTGCTGCTACAGCTTCTAAGGACAGCCACACACACGTGTAGTGCACACCCCTATCCATCAGGAGTGGTGGGCTAGGAGGATGGAAAGACCTGGTAAGGATATTTTCTTATTTTTAATCAGAATAATATCCTGACTTGATTTACTTTATTGAACCAACCCAATTGACCCGATTGATCTTGCCCCTCATCTTGAAAAGGGCCGATCCATTCAGAGTGGCTTGACTGGACTGGTTGGCCTGACTGACTTGACAGTCCGCGCCCCTCACCTTGAGGGGGCAGCCCCTTCAAAGTGCATATCCTTGTCCCGTCACCTTTCAAAATCGGGCTTCTGAAACCGAGACTGCCCCCTCACCTTGAAGGGGCAGCTGGCCTACTGGGAGTGGCATTGACTTGATTGACTTCATTGACTGGAATGACCCACCCCCACTCGCACCTTGAAGGGGCGGCTGGTCCACTGGGAGTGGCCGGGCGGGCAGATGCAGAAGACAGCTTTTTGCCAATCCTTGTTCGTCTGGTTCTCCAGCTTGGCTGCAAAGCTCCACCCCTTGATGCGCCGCTTCGCATACATCTGCATGTGTTGGGTGGGGGCGGGGGGGTGGGGAGGGGAGCGAAGGGGAAGGGTGAGGTGGGGATTTTCAAGTCGGCTCCAAGAGCGGCAGCATCTCGCAACCCGCTTCCCCAAGCCTTTCAGCACTCGCTCCCCACTCCACCCCCACACCCCCAACCCCATCAGCTCAATCCCACTCCCCATGCCCCATCCGTCCCGCACACACGTACAGCGAGCAGCTCGGGGCGCCGGTCATGGCCGTGGTGCATGAAGGGCGCCCTGTGGGCCGGCTGGTACCCCATACCCCTCAAACCCCCAAACCCCTCCCCCGCGCAGACACTGAGCAGCTCGGGGCGCCGGTCGTGGCTGTGGTGCATGAGGGGCACCCTGTGGGCCGGCTGGTCAGCCCACCACTCAGCCCACAGCCCCAACTCCCCCAACCTCCCCCACCCTCCCCATTCTCCTCCCCATGTCCCCCCCACACACGAACAGCGAGCAGCTCAGGGCGCAGGTCGTGGCCGTGGTGCATGAGGGGCGCCCTGTGGCCGTGCTGGGCTGAGAAGGCCATCTGCCCCATACCCGCCCTGCTCCCCAAAACCCAAACTTAAACCCCAAACCCCAAGCCCACACGCACAGCGAGCAGCTCGGGGCGCAGGTCATGGCCGTGGTGCATGAGGGGCGCGTTGTGGCCCTGATGGGCTGAGAAGCGGAAGATGGCTCGCATGGGGCGATCGCCAGTGAAGGGCGACACCATGGGCACCTGGTGGGGTGGGCAGGTGGGGAGGTGGGCAAGTTGGGGGGTGGGCAAGTCGGGGGGTGGGCAAGTCGGGGGGTGGGCAAGTCGGGGGGTGGGCAGGTGGGAGGGTGGGCAAGTGGGGGGATGGGCAGGTGGGGGGGGTAGGCATGACAGAAGCAGCGGAGAGATTAAAACACAAACACACACGCACACACGCACGCGCGCACGCGTGCGCACACACAGACACACACACACGCACACACACGCACAGACACACACACACACACACACACACACACACACACACACACACACACACACACACACACACAAACAAACAGAAAAACTTCCGTCACCACCCACCCACCTGGTCGCCAATAAAGGCAGGGACAACAATGTCTCGGTCGGGCATGTAGCATGGGACGTCAGGGAACTGCGGCTGCAGCGGCGCATCAATGTAGTTGTATCCTATGATCTGCTCGCGCCAAGGAGGGGGTTAAGGAAAGTGGGGAAGGAGGGGGGGTAAGGGTTGGGGAAGGAGGGGGGGTAAGGGTTGGGGGGGGGGTGGAGAGATTAGCTTATGGGATGTCGGGGAACTGCGGGTGTCATAGTGGGGAGTCATTGTGGTTCACTTTTGGGTCGACTCAAGAGTCGTTGTAGTCAACTCTTGAGTCGAGTCAAGAGTCTTTGGAGTTGTATCTAAAAATCTGTATTCGGAGGAAGGGGGGGTGGCGTAGGGGGGAGAGGGACTAGGGGTGGGGGGAGAGGGACTAGGGGTGGGGGGAGAGGGACAAGGGGTGGGGGGAGAGGGGTTGGGGGTGGGCGGGGCTTATGAGTGCGCCTACCCTCATGTTCCCTCCTATCTATCTGCACCTTCCCACCATACCAGCACGTTCCATGGTCATGAAGAGATAGGTATAAGCTCCTCTGCGCTTCTCCCTCCCTCCTCTGCGCTTCTCCCTCCCTCCTCTGCGCTTCTCCCTCCCTACCTGCACCTTCCCTCCCCTCAGCACACACGCCGGCTCGCATGCTCCTGCACGTTCCCAACCTCCCACCTACACGTGCCGGCTCGCATGCTCCTGCACGTTCCCAACCTCCCACCTACACGTGCCGGCTCGCATGCTCCTGCACGTTCCCAACCTCCCACCTACACGTGCCGGCTCGCATGCTCCTGCACGTTCCCAACCTCCCACCTACACGTGCCGGCTCGCATGCTCCTGCACGTTCCCAACCTCCCACCTACACGTGCCGGCTCGCATGCTCCTGCACGTTCCCAACCTCCCACCTACACGTGCCGGCTCGCATGCTCCTGCACGTTCCCAACCTCCCACCTACACGTGCCGGCTCGCATGCTCCTGCACGTTCCCAACCTCCCACCTACACGTGCCGGCTCGCATGCTCCTGCACGTTCCCAACCTCCCACCTACACGTGCCGGCTCGCATGCTCCTGCACGTTCCCAACCTCCCACCTACACGTGCCGGCTCGCACGCTCCTGCACGTTCCTCTGCACAGAAGCGTGCATGGTGCACGCGAGGCGGTCCCCGTTGAGCAGACGAGGGGAAAGATCCTACCTGGGCGTTTCTCGGCTCAGCACTGCTCCCTCTCTACCTGCAAGTTGCGCTCCCTACCTGCAAATTGCGCTCGACAGACGCGTGCATGGTGCGCGCGAGGCGGTCCCCGTTGAGCATCACGAAGAACATCTCGCCGTACAGATCTGGGATGACCCACGTCAACGCGTGGCAACGGCCGTGATCGAACGTGCTCGTGCTGAAGTGATCTCGGCCGTTGGTGCGGTTGAAGTAGGGGAAGTCGCGGCGAATCATGGTGAGAATGTCGTGCCACGCCTGCGTGCGAAGGGCGTGGGGAGGGGAGGGCGAAGGTGTGGGGAGGGGGAGAAGACGCGCGGGGAGGGGGAGAAGGCGGGTGGGAAGGGGGAGAAGGCGGGTGGGGAGGGGGAGAAGGCGGGTGGGGAGGGGGAGAAGGCGGGTGGGGAGGAGAGGGGATGGGAGGGGGAAATGGGAGCGAGGGAATTGGAGGTCGAGGGCGGGGGTGGGGGAAAAGGGGGGAGGCGACCGGAGGATAGGCGGAAAAGGGATACGGGGAGTGCGAATGAGGATGAGTGCGGAAACGGAGAAGAGTCGGGGTTTGGGGCGAGGGGCGAGAGGCGAGGGAGGGAGTAATTACGACTCGATACAAGCAGACGCGCATCTCACCTTAGAGACCTCCGCGACCGCCGTCTGCATCATGTTCTTCATGACCTTGTTCACATGCGAGATGTGGTTCGACGCGTACTAGTACGCCGCGAACGGACTCGATGTAAGCGAACTCACAGCTCACCTTAGAGACCTCCCCGACCGCCGTCTGCATCATGTTCTTCATAATCTTGTTCACATGCGAGATGTGGTTCGACGCGTAGTACGGCACGTAAAACAGCGTCGCCTTTTCCGGATCCGTCGTGCGAACCGCGTTAGTGCGCATTAGTAGCTCGGTCAGCACAGTTTCCACCTCGTATTGGTCTGAGTACCAATCCCTATCGAGTCCTTTCATAGGCTCCGTCCACGCCCATTGTGTGTCGTACACGTAAATAAACTGTTGGTTGTTACCGTCGCCAGCTGCGTCCTGATTGGCCCTCACACCGGCGCCACCGTTCCCGCCGGAAAACGAGGCGTCGGATCCGATAGTCGCTGCAGGGAGGGCCTGCGAGACTACCGCTGCGGAAACGGCGGCGGGGGTGGCGGAAACGGTGGCAGGGGTCGCGGAAACTCCACTGATTTCTAGATGGCGTCTTGCGCTGGCGAGGTCGCGGGAAAGAGACGAGGCGGAAGCGGTGGTGGTGGCGGCGGCGGCGGCGGCGGCGGCGGCGGTGGACAACTCGGGATTCTCTAGGTTTGGACAGAAGCAGTTTTGCGGTAGGAGCTGTAAATACGAACTACATAGAAGCCCTATCAATAAGAGCGACGCGACGCCCACAAAGGCGAAGAGCTCGGGAGCGCGCTTCGGACTCAAGAGCTGTTGCTGCATCTTAGCGGCCTGTACTTTGATCTTAGTGACGTCCGGAACTAAAATTTCCCACGAGGACACCACGCGGTCCGGAAACGGCGAAGGTTCTGAGCGTCAAGACCTGAAAGAGTGTGAATCGCGTGTAATAAGTCTGCTTTTGAGTCGACTCAAAAGCAGACACCACGTGGACCGGAAACGACGAAGATTCTGAAAGTCTAGCCCTGAAAGAGTGTGAATCGGAAAAGCTTAGGGAGTGAACGGGCCGTGACAAGCTCAAATGCGAGATGCACTTAATTTACACTGAAATTACCCTGTCTCGATGCTGGCGCTGGTTTTGCTGCTGTTGATAGCCTCTCTGCTGTTGTTGCTCCTAGCTAAATCAGTTGCTGCTCATCCAACAACGAACCAACCTGAAGAGTCTAGTACAGTAGGACTCTTGTGTGAAGCTCTAGTGGAGAGGCACGTGATAAGCACACAGCCGCGACGCGACGCGAGCGAACAACGTCGGCTCGGGCGTTGAGAAAGAATAGTGCCCACAGCGCGTGTCTAGCAGGTTGAGAGTGATTAGGTACGTTGAGATTCGATGGATTTCGGTTTAAAGCAGATGAGTGACTCGGTGGGACTCGGTAGTTTGATGTTCCCAACGTAGAAACAAACAAATACAGACACCTCAGGAGTCGTCGATTGCCGCCAGATCGACGTTTCCTGGAGATTCCCATGAAACATCTGTAAAACGTTCAGGTCAGGGTTCAGGCGAATTTTAGGGCCTTCGTACATACGTGCTGGTTTGATTTGAGTGACTCCACGGCACGTGAGGTTTTCAATGGTACTTCGGGCTTGGTTCGGAAGGCCTGACATGAAGGCTCGGAAGTCGGTGGCGCGGTGTGAACTAATCCTTTGCACCAATCAGTTACAGCTTCAAACCGCCACTCACCTTTCTGAAATCCAGCGACCCGCAGGGGATGAGAAACGGCTGTCTGCCCTAGCAATGCACGCGAGCATCATTCCAAGCTGTACAGACTGTACAGTACCACGGAGCAAGAGAGAGAAAAAAAAAAAGAGAGCATTCGTGGTACTGTACAGTCTGTACAGTAATGACGAACGAACGGCCATCCATTACAGCCTGTACATTACAACGAACGGCCGTCCATTACACCTACCATGGATACACCACGCAGACTAATGGAAAGAATCGGAAGCCGAACAAGGTTTTGGAGCATTTGCGAAGCCTCTCAGATGATATTTTATGATGGAAACCGGACTCGTAAAGGAGGGAGACAAATTCTCGCAAACCGTTTGCGCAGCCGGCAGCATGTCGATGAGCCCTCTTGCGCCCGAAGCGCCCTTATCTCCTAGGAGCCTCTCGAACCGCGTCACTGTCGCTATCCTTGCAGCTGTCGGCCTTATTGCAACCCTATTCATCCTGCGTCATGAACAGCCGGCTTGTATGTGCGATAATGACGTCAGCACACGCTTCAGTGCCATCCCCGGCGGCTCTGGAGGTCCCGCTAGTGAGCTCCCCGCTGCTGAAGTTACTAAGTGTCCCTCGGCCGGCGGCGCGGCTCCAAGGCCTACAGAGATCGGGGCGAACGCTTATAACGTGTACGCGCGGCTACCAAATAGTCCTGCTGACACGTTTAATCGGCTTCTCGTGGCGGGTGCAGTGGAAGAAAAGAAACCGTTTATATACGTGTACGATTTCGGGCCCAACTGTACGGATAGCATCTCCGGGATGAACGTTCCACCGTACGCGTTGCATTTCGACCTCGAACGGAAATTGACGGAACAGATTTTATCTGACGCTGGTGGGGTTCGAACCCGCGACCCGAAACAGGCTAGTTTGTTCTTCGTGCCATTTTACTCTGCCCGGCTGCTACAGTACTACTTAAGCGTCTCGAAAGACGGTGCGGATATGCGGGACGCGGTGGAAAAGACATCGCAGGTTTGGATGGCAATGATTACGAAGGTGCGGCGCGAGCCTTACTTCAACCGATCTAACGGCCGAGATCATTTTGCAATTCTGTCGACGCAGAACGGGAGATGCGACGCGCTGACGTACATAAATCCTAAGTTGCTCGGCGAGATGTTCTTCGTGACTTATTACGGGGATGCTCTGGTGCGGAGCGTTCACACGGGATGGACACCAGACATGCGGGTAGGCGAATCGCGACCCTCGTAACAGCTATTTTACTGCTGTTTTCTTCGCCGCATAGAAACTGTTGTACACCGCACTTTCTCTACACCGCGCTCTAAGTGTTGCTCTCATTTTCCCCTTTCCTGTTCCGCTGCCTCCCCCTTCCCAAACAAAATCCCCCCTTCCCCCCTCCCCCGTGTCCCGTTCCCCATTCCCCTTCCCCCTTGCTGCTGCCGCGGCGCGCTTGCAGGTGCTGTCGTATAACTACGGAGCGCCTATGAACGTCTCTATTCCGGACATCGCCTGCTATTATCCCAAACGAGACGTGGTCGTGCCGCCCTTGCTGACTCAGACACACGTCATCCCCCCCAAGGGCATACCCACCACGGCTTCTGAGACTTCTGCTCCCATCTCTGCTTCTGCTGCTGCTGATTCTGCTGCTGATGATGCAGCTGATGCTGCTACCTATGGCGGTCGTACGATCCGTGTGCTGTTGGTGACGTCAGCGAGCAGCATTGCTGACGCGAGCAGCGACAGCATCAAGGTTGAACGCATGCACCATAACTACGCGGTGGAGAAGTGGTTGATCGAGGTGAGACGTGGTTGATCGAGGTGAGACGTGGTTGATCGAATTCTGTTGGGCCTTCTTGGCCTTTTAATCTTCGTCCCCTCTCTCTCTCTTCCCCCCCCCTTAACCCCCACAGCTGCACACGTCCCATGCAGCAGCCATTTACGGGTGGAAGGTGGTGCTTCGAGGTGACGGCGAGGAGACACTTTTGGGAATTCTCACTCACCATTCCCTGGTTGCACTCCCCTCTCCCTCCCCCCCACCCACACACACGCACAGCTATACACGTCCCATGCAGCAGCCATTTACGGGTGGAAGGTGGTGTTTCGAGGCGACAGCGAGGAGGCTGGGGGGGTCCGAGGGGATGCCTCGGAAATCCCTGCCTCTGCTGCTGCTGCTGGTGCTGGTGCTAGCGCTGCTGCTGGCGATAGTGCCGGTGGTGCTGATGGTGGTGGTGGTGGTGGTGCCGCTGCTGCTGGCGATAGTGCTGGTGGTGGTGCTTCTGCTGCTGGTGCTGGTGCAGCTGCTGCTGCTGCTGCTGCTGCTGCTGGCGGTGCAGCTGGTGACAACAGCGAGTGGGGCGAAAGTGTCTTCTGCCTCGTGCCTCCCAGTCGGGCGCAGTGGACCGTGCAGCTCGCCAAGGTGGGCTTTAAGACGTCTTGAGACGTCTTGAACCTTGTGACAATGCTAGATGTCCCAAGAATACTTATGAGACGCCTCAAGACTTGTCGTCTGCCTCGTGCCCCCCGGTGGGGCACAATGGACTGTCCAGCTCACCAAGTGGGTTTGTCTCTCATCATCACCACTCCCCCCTCCCCACTCCCCCCTCCCCACTCCTCCCTCCCCACTCCCCACTTCCAACTCCCCACTCCCTACTTCCCACTCCCGTGACATTCTTCCATCCCTACAATCTCACCCTCCCTCCCTCCCTCGCTCCCTCCCTCCCCCCCTCCATCCCTCCCTCCCTCCCTCCCTCCCTCACCCGCCCAGGCAATCCTCTCAGGCTGCATCCCAGTGACGTTCCTCCGTGCCAACGACAACCCCTGGGCTGCATCCCTCCACCACCAAAAAGCAGCACCATCATCCGCCACTGCCACTGCCCCTGCCTCTGCCGCACCCACCGCCCCCTCCTCTCTCAACTACCTTCTCTTCTCGCTCAACGTCGACCCGGCGGATCTCCACTCGCTCCCCCGCAGGCTGCAGGACGCGTTTGACCAGCCGGGGCTCGTGGAGCGGCTGCAGCACAACCTGGGGCTCGTGCAGGTGGGCACTGGGGTGGGTGGGAGTGCAGGTGGGCACTGGGGTGGGTGGGAGTGCAGTGCAGGTGGGCACTGGGGTGGGTGGGAGTGCAGGTGGGCACTGGGGTGGGTGGGAGTGCAGGTGGGCACTGGGGTGGGTGGGAGTGCAGGTGAGGCTCGTGCAGGTGGGCACTGGGGGTGGGTGGGAGTGCAGGTGAGGCTCGTGCAGGTGGGCACTGGGGTGGGTGGGACTGGGAAAGGTGAGAGTGGAGAGTGCTGCCCCCGCGGCCGCCTCTCCCCCCGCGAGTTGACTTTTGAGTTGACTTTTGAGTTGACTTTTGAGTTGACTTTTGAGTTGACTTTTGAGTCGACTCAAAAGTCAACTCTCCCCCCGCGGCCGCCTCTCCCCCCGCGGCCCTCAACTACCCGGTGTTCTTGCTCAACGTCGACCCGGCGGATCTCCACTCACTGCCCCACCGCCTGCAGGTGGGGATTGTGGCAGGTGGGACTGGGGCAGGTGAGACTGGGGCAGGTGAGACTGGCGCAGGTGGGACTGGCGCAGGTGTGACTGGCGCAGGTGGGACTGGCGCAGGTGGGACTAGTGCAGGTGGGACTGGGGCAGGTGGGACTAGTGCAGGTGGGACTGGAGCAGGTGGGACTGGGGCAGGTGGGACTGGGGCGCTGGGGTAGGTGAGGCTGGGGCAGGCGGGACTGGATATTTTTGAATGGCAAGAGTCCGTGGACCAGAGTGCAGAGCTGGTTGGTTTGTATCCTCACCTCATACATTCACTCCCCACTCACCTCTAACTAACCATTTCGAGGTACTTTTTGAGTCCACTCAAACGTCACAGAGCTGGTTGGTTTGTATCCTCACCTCATACATTCACTCCCCGCTCACCACACACCTCTAACCATTTCTCCCGACTCCCCCCTCCCCGCTCATTCCTCTCTCCCCCTTACCCACCCTCTCCGCTCCCCACTCCCCACCCCCAACTCTCTCCCCACTCCCCCCCACTCCCCTGCAGCCATGCCCATCCCACAGGACATGTTAAAGCGGCATGAGTCCCTGGACCAGGGGGCAGGGGCGGTTCTGCTGTATTTATTCTCACCACAACAACTACTCCCTGCTCCCCAACCCCCATTCCCCACTCCCTCCCCTCGTGCTCGTGCCACAGGACATGTTCAAGTGGCATGGGTCCCTGGATCAGGGGGCAGGGGCGGTGCTCATTCCCCTTTCCGTGTTCCCCATGAGCAGGGGCGGTGCTCATGAGCAGGCTGAGGAGGATTGGAGCAGTGGCGCAATAGCAGCTCACCACTCCTCACTCCTAATCTCCCTTCTCTGCACGTTCTTGCCACAGGACATGTTCAAGTGGCATGATTCCTTGGACCAGGGGGCAGGGGCGGTGCTCATGAGCAGGCTGAGGAGGATTGGAGCAGCAGCAGCGGCACAGATCACGGCAGCATGATGCGTTTTTAGTCTACTTAAAGTCACGCGGAGGACAGGGGTGGTGAACAGGGTGGTGGTGCTCATGAGCAGGCTGAGGAGGATTGCACCAGCAGCGGCAACAAGGAGATGCAGCAGCTGTAAGTGCAGATTGTGCTGCCTCTGGAGTCTAAGAAAAATGTGTCGAATGAGCATTCAGGATAGCAGAACAAAGCGCCGCGAAAGTGTGTAGTGTGCTCTGCTGCCTGTGGAGGCGAATAAGAAAGAGGGATTATCGAAGTAGTGTACCGTTACTCCCCTGGATAGGATCCCCCCATCCCAATGGGACAAGCCTTGGGGCTTATCACCAGGGAAAGGCGCGATGGTACATTTGTCGATTATAAGCTGTATCTACCCTGTTTTGTAGTATCTTATCCATGTATTGTGAACCTTCTGAAATTATGTGCAAAACAGCTTAAAAGGGTTACCAGGGATACAGACCCCTCCTAATGAATGCAAAGAGAAGCTTCAGTTTGAGCTCCCCATAAAAACATTTGTTCATTGGCGACATCCACACTGAACAGTGTTACCTGAAAGTTCGATTCTCACTTTTTACAATACTGTACAGCAAACACTTCCTAAATGCGTTTGCTTATCGTCTACACGCGATAAGGGAACCTTCACCAAGGCCGATCCGATGTCGTGTGTGGATGGCTGCTGCCGAACTTCCAAATTCGCCCGTGACTTCCAAATTCGCCTGACTTCAACCAGGGCTGTCGATTGGTCTGGGCCCAAACCGTACGAAGCTGAGCTGCCTCGAAAACAGCCCTGAGCTATACGGGAAGCGGACGTAATTTCAGGGCATTCATATTTCCCGCTCTGAGAATGCATGCGTAATATAGCTAAGTTATTCAAGCTAGACATACACTAAAGAGCAGAGTACGCTAGGGGAACGTAGGGGGCTGGTGTTGTTGGGGGAAGTGGGAGAGGGACAAGTTCGCGGTTTAAGGACAGGAAGAAAGGGGTAGAGGGGAAGGGGGGTGCCCTTACGGGAATCCGGGGGAGCCCCAAAACCTGTCCGTTAGGAATCCGGGCTGGGGGAAAAACCAACCCTGAAAATCTCCGAGATGAGCTGAAACTAACCCTGAATTCTCAGGGAGAACGGACAAATGTCCGTGAATCGACAGGCTTGACTTCAACGTCTCTTTGTTGCAACTGTAACAGGCAGTTTGTCTTGTTAGCAGCAGCTAAGTCAACGTAAGCCGCCGCTGCTCATACAAACAGCACGACACGAATTCTTCGAAGCTTCAATTCGCAGCCAGGCCACCACCACCGAACGCCTAGTCAGCATCTGCGAAAGTATCTTGACGGTTAAAGTACTGTTAATGCTCGTTTGGCACACCCAACTTCGCCTTGTGCTATGGGCCTATAATTAACTTCAACTTCGCCTTGTGCTATGGGCTTATCAATAACTTTGGAACTTCGCAAAGTTTTCGTCAATTCGCACCGAGAAAAAAGGGCTTATAGAATGTAATTGTAACTCATTGCTGACTGTTTGACTTCAGTCTCTTCAGTCAAACTTCGGTTTCTGTGGTTAGTATTGGCTCATTTCACAGCAGCTTTCTCGAGGGGCTTGTAAATGGGGGGCAACTTCATGGCACAAAACACACGGGTGCAATTGTTTCCATCTAGAACAATCGAATTCGCGTGCAGGGGTTGAGCATCATTTGTATAGGTTGAAAGCTCCCCAACCATACCGCCAAGTGTGTCACCGAGCCACCTCCTCCCGAAGCAAAACCATGTGGGCTGCTTTTCTCAATGCTGGCTGCTCGCTCGCGCCGCGGCTGCATAACCACACCACACATCAGTGCATCAGCTGGGAGTGAATATTGCACTGCACTCATTAGTGCATCAGTGAACCACAAGTGCATCAGAGCCCGCTAGACTAGAGTCGTCGAGGCATTCCCCATTGGCTGGGTTGAGCAGCAATCACTGTATAGTGCACTACAAGTGCATTAGTGCAGCTGCAACGACAGCAGCGAAATCTGCGACATCCGCGATACATTACCAGGATCAGCATGAGCGACGTCAGCGAAGGTGGACGAATTTCAGAGTAGGCCTTTCTTTAAGGCACCCTCAAAACCTAATCTTCGCTAATCCGCTTTTTCAGGCTTGACAGACCGCCTTCGCGATTTCCGGACCGCGTCATGTTCTCGAGGGAGATGCTAGTTCTGGACGTCTCTAAAATCGGAGTACAGGCCGCAAAGATGCAGCAGATGTTAAATCCGAAGCGCTTTCCCATCCACTTCGCCTATGTGGCCGTCGCGCCGTTCATATTGATAGCACTTTTAAGTAGCAGTTCGTACATGCAATCGCAAGATTGCTTCTGTAGGAACCTAGAGAATCCCGAGCTGACTACCGCCGCCGCCGCCGCCACCGCCGCCGTCGTCACCGCTTCCGCCTCGTATCTTTCTGGAGACCTTGCTAACGCAAGACGGGATTTAGAATCCCGTGGACCTTCCCCCTCCGCCGCCGCCGTTCCCGCTGCGGGAGACTCGCAGCTCCTTCCTGCAGCGACGACCGGATCCGTCTCCGCGTTTTCCAGGGGCGGGAACGACGGCGCCGGTGCCGGGGCCAATAATGATGCCGCGTCAGCTGACGACGACGATAGCAACCGTCCGTTTATTTACGTGTACGACACGCAATCGGAGTGGACGGAGGGGATGAAGGGACGCCCCAAGGAGTGGTTTTCTGACCAATACGAGGTGGAGTCGGTACTAACGGAGCTTCTTATGCGTTCTAACGCGATTCGCACGACGGATCCTGAAAAGGCGACGCTGTTTTACATCCCGTACTATTCGTCGAACCACATCGCGCATGTGAACAAGAATGAGAAAAACATGATGGATAAGTCTGCCGGGGAAGTGTCTAAGGTGAGTTGCGAGTCTGCTTATATCGAGTCCGTTACTGTACTATTCGTCGAACCACATCGCGCATGCGAACAAGAATGAGAAAAACAGGATAAGTCTGCCGAGGAAGTTTCTAGGTGAGTTGCGAGTCTGTTTATATCGAGTCTGCTTGTGCCCTACTACTCTCGAACCGCATCTCCTATGTGAACAAGCTGATGAAGAACATGATGCATAGTTAGGTCGAGGAAGTCCCTAAGGTGCGTTCGCGAGTCTGCTTAGATCGAGTTGAACCACATCATGCTTGTGAACAGGCATATGAAGAACATGACGCGTAAGGTCGCCGTGGAGGTTTCAAAGATGCGTTCGTGAGTTTGCGTATATCGAGTTACAAGAATGGGAGGGTCTTGTACCATGTACTTATATCCTATGTTACAAGACATTATAATGTTGAAAACCTAAACCCTCTCCCCCTCTTACCCTCTATACCCTCTCGCCCTCTTACCCTCTACCCTCTCGCCCTCTTACCCTCTACCCTCTCGCCCTCTTACCCTCTCGCCCTCTCCCCACATCCCATCCAGGCGTGGCACAACATTCTCACCATGATTCGCCGCGATTACCCCTACTTCAACCGCACCAACGGCCGAGATCACTTCGGCACGAGCACGTTCGATCACGGCCGTTGCCTCGCATTGCCGTGGGTCAACCCGGATTTGTACGGCGAGATGTTCTTTATCGTGCTTAATGGGGACCGCCTTGCGCGCACCATCCACTCCTCTAAAAAGAGGAACATGCAGGTAGGGAGGGAAGCTGGTAGGAAGGGAGCAGTGGACAGGTGCAGGTGCAGGGAGGGAGCAGGTGCGAGATGTTTAATATCTTGCTCAACAGGGACCGCCTTGCGCGCGCGGCGCACCATGAACGCTTCAGTCAAGAGAAACCTGCAGGTAGGGAGAGGAGAGGAACCTGTAGGGAGATGGACTGCAGTGCTCAACGGGGACCGCCTTGCGCCGGCACCGCACTGCACCTTCCACTCGTCCCGTGCTACGCCCGCACTGCACCTTCCACTCGTCCAGTGCTACGCCCACACTGCACCTTCCACTCGTCCAGTGCTACACCTGCACCTACCATTTGTGTTGAGGTGTGAATCCCCCCTTTTGTGGTGAACCCACCAACACAAGCGATGGGGAGATTGGTGCTCAACCAACCTCAATCCACATTTAGCCATAAACCCTTGTTGTTGTTTCAACCCAACACATTGTGTGACCAGTTGTGGTTGGGCACTCCAATTTGGCTCCAACCACCTCCTTTCCTTGCATCCTGCGTACACCATTGTTTCTCCTCAATGGAAATCAACTTCTTGATTCCCTTCTCTCCTCTCGTCCAGTGCTACGCCGGCACTGCACCTCCTTCTTGATTCCCTTCTCTCCTCTCAAATCATAGGGTACAAATACAACATGACCTTGCAGCCGCAGTACCACCACATTCCAGGCTACATGGGCTGATCCCTCTAGCCTTCACAACCTCTCCTCCCCAACTCCCATGCCCATCTCCCCTCCCTTCCCCTTTTCTCCAAATGCACAGATCATAGGATACAATTACAACATGACCTTGCAGCCACAGTACCCAGACATTCCATGCTACATGCCCGACCGTGACATTGTCGTGCCTGCCTTTGTTGGCGGCCAGGTGGGTTGTTGAGGCGAGAGGCTTGTATCTAGGCGCCTCAAAGTTCCGTCTCAACATTCCCTGCTACACGCCTGTCCCTCACGCCACGCCCCTCATGCCACGCCCCTCATGCCACGCCACGCCCCTCATGCCACGCCACGCCACGCCCCTCATGCCACGCCCCTCATGCCACGCCCCTCATGCCACGCCACGCCCCTCACGCCACGCCCCTCATGCCACGCCCCTCATGCCACGCCCCTCATGCCCGTCCCATGCGAGCCATCTTCCACCTCTCAGCCCATTCCGTCCCATGCTGCCCGCACATCCCTCTCTCTCACTCTATCTCTCCCACCACGCACACCAACCACCCCTCCAGGTCTCATGGTGTCACCCTTCACGGGCAGTGTGTGTGATAAGTCGATTTTTAGTTGACTCAAAAATCAACCCTTCACCGGCGATCGCACCATGCGAGCCATCTTCCGCTTCTCACTCTCTCTCCCCCTTGTTGCTACCGTGCCCCACTCCCCCTCACACCTCCTCTCCTCTTCCTCCTCCCCCCCCCCCCCCCCCTTCCCCCACCACTCCAGCTGCCCATGGTGTCGCCCTTCACTGGCAATCGTACCATGCGAGCCATCTTCCGGTTCTCAACGCAGCCGAGCCACAGGGCGCCCCTCACGCACCACGGCCATTCCTTACGCCCCGAGCTGCTCAAAGTATGTTGAGGGGCGGGGTGGGTGGGTGGGTGGGTGGGTGTGGGGAAAGTGGGGGAGTGGGGAAAGTGGGTAATGGTCGTCTCACCCCAGCAGAGCCACAGGGCGCCCCTCACGCACCACGGCCATATCTTACGCCCTGAGCTGCTCCGTGCATGTTTAGGAGAGTGTCTGGGGGGTAGGGGGCGGTTGGTGAGGAAGGGGGAGTGGGGGGGAGTGGGATGGAGTGGGGGAGGAGGGGTGGGACAGATGACCTTCCGCTTCTCAGCCCAGCAGGGCCACAGGGCGCCTCTCATGCACCACGGCCCGTTACTTACGCCCCGAGCTGCTCCGTGCATGTGCAAGAAGGGGAGTGGGGGAAAGGGGAAGGGCGGGTGCGAAGTGGGGGTTGTGGTGAATGGCTATAATGGAGTGACTTTTGAGAATTCTCAAAAGTCACTCCATTATATCTTGCCTACCAGAGCCACAGGGCGCCTCTCATGCACCACGGGCTGTTACTTACGCCCCGAGCTGCTCCGTGTAAGTGCGGGGGTGAGGTTGGTGGAGCTTCGCAGCGCAAAGTATGTGCGTGCGACCAACCAACATGGATCCCTCTACTAGATTCCGCGTGTGATGAGTCATTGTCTCCCCATAGTCGCTTTTGAGGTGACTCAAAATCCCACTACTAGATTCCGCGTGTGATGAGTCATTGTCTCCCCATAGTCGACCCAAAAATCGACTCATCATGTGCAACCAACCAACATGAATCCCACTAGATTCCGCTTAAGGGTCTCCTCTCTTCAACCCCGCCGTACACCTACCAACCGCCCTGGACCTGGCCACACCCACCACCCCTCCCGTGTGCGGATGTACGGGCGGCAGTGCATCAAAGGGTGGAGCTTAGCTTTGCACTCACCCCCCACTCTACCACCCCTTCCCCCCAACCCCCCCACCCCCCTACCCTCCCCCTCGCCTGCGCGCAGATGTACGGGCGGCAGCGTATCAAAGGGTGGAGCTTTGCAGCCAGGGGGGAGAGGCAGACGAACAAGGAGTGGCAGATGGCTGTCTTCTGCATCTGCCCGCCCGGCCACTCCCAGTGGACCAGCCGCCCCTTCAAGGTGCGCGGCTGTGATGGTCAATCAGAGTCAATGATCAAGTCAACGAAGTCAACTTAATGGGCTCTCCCAGTGGGCTCTCCCAGTGGGCTCTCCTAGTGGGCTCTCCCAGTGGGCTCTCCCAGTGGGCTCTCCCAGTGGGCTCTCCCAGTGGGCTCTCCCAGTGGGCTCTCCCAGTGGGCTCTCCCAGTGGGCTCCCCCAGTGGGCTCTCCCAGTGGACCAGCCGCCCCTTCAAGGTTCGGATTGCTACAGTCATGGGAACCCAACCCCATTGTAGAGTAGTTGGAACCCAACTGTAGAGGAGTTGAAACCCAACCGTAGAGTAGTTGAAACCCAACCGTAGAGTAGTTGAAACCCAACCGTAGATTAGTTGAAACCCAACCGTAGAGTAGTTGAAACCCAACCGTAGAGTAGTTGAAACCCAACCGTAGAGTAGTTGAAACCCAACTACGAAGTAGCATTAGAGCGTCTCACCATTTTACAGGTTGAGGTTTGCTTACTGACTGAACCGCGCGCGTGCGAATTCGTCATTACTGCAGCCTTTGAACGTGGCAAACTCCTTCCTGTCCCCTCTCCCCCCACCAAACATACAGGTGCTCATCTCATGGTGCATCACAGGTACGTTCTTCCAAGGCCACGACAACCCCTGGGGCGATGAGCTGGACCCTCATATTCCCCCAACCATTCCCCCTCTTCCCCCCATCTCTTGTCCCCTCTCCTCCCAACCCCACAGGCGCTCATCTCGGGGTGCATCCCAGTGACGTTCTTTCGAGACCACGACAATCCCTGGGACGATGAGCTGGACTACTCCTCCTTCTCCATCAACATCGATCCCGACGACATTGCTTCTCTGCGCTCCCGTCTAGAGACCGCTCCTGTGGAGCAGCTGCAACGCGGCGTGGAGACGGTGCAGGTGGGTTGGCATCGGTGCAGTGCGGTGGAATGGTGTGCGAAGTGCGGTGAAATGGGTGGAGTGCGGTGGTGTTCAAGTGGTAACGAATGCATATATATACAAGGGGCAGTGTAGCAGCTTCTAAATAACAGGTTGGCTTAAGGTCCTCCTTCCCTCATGTGATTTGAGTCGACTCGAAACCGTGGCGATGCACATGATCGTTGGCGTGTGCCCCCCTATACACAAGGGACAGAGTAGCAGCTTATAAATAACAGCTTGCCTCAAAAATCGTCTTGGGATCCACCTTCTTTTGAGTCTTGGGATCCACCTTCTTTTGAGTCGCCTCAAAAGCAGACTCATTACACGCGGTTTCTACATTGAAAAGTAGACTCATTTACATCCTCTCTTCTCTCATCTTCCCTCATGTGACCCCCCATTTACATCCTCTCTTCTCTCATCTTCCCTCATGTGACCCCCCATTTACATCCTCTCTTCTCTCATCTTCCCTCATGTGACCCCCCATTTACATCCTCTCTTCTCTCATCTTCCCTCATGTGACCCCCCATTTACATCCTCTCTTCTCTCATCTTCCCTCATGGGACCCCCCATTTACATCCTCTCTTCTCTCATCTTCCCTCATGTGACCCCCCATTTACATCCTCTCTTCTCTCATCTTCCCTCATGTGACCCCCCATTTACATCCTCTCTTCTCTCATCTTCCCTCATATAACCCCCCATTTACATCCTCTCTTCTTTCAACTTCTCTCATGTGGAGTCCCCACCTCCCTCTCTCACCCCTTTATGCCGCCAGCGGATGTTCAAGTGGTCGGGGAATCACACACAAGGGGCAAAGTACGAGCTTATGAAGAGGTTACGGCAGCGAGGCAAGCAACTCTCCTCTACCTCCCTCTTCCTATAGCAAGGCGCCTGTAGCAGGTGTGCCTGCAATAGAAAATGAGGGATGGTAGAAGCTCCTCTTTTATTTTACAAAAGAAATTCCTTTCTTTGGTAACGAATATTTATCTGTTGCACTAAGAAAAGCTGTTTTTTTATGAAATATATAGTAGCGTGTATATATAGGGATGAGAATCACTATCTTACCTTTCCTTTCTTTGTGTAGGGAGGCAGTTGCGTACTCCAGAGTCCTGACATTACCTCTCTTCTGTCCGGATGTTTTTGAAAACTTTACACAACAACACTCTTTGTTTCTTTACAGAGTATTGCTATTATGTTTGGCCAATCTCTTCTCATCCTAGCTTGGCATACCGGTACGCAGTCTGATCTGAACACCACTGCCAATATAAATTACGAATGTATGATGCGATACTGCCCAGTTCCTCTGCTGCTGTGGGGACGTCTCTGCTCTGCTGCTGTGAGTCTCCCTCTCTACCCAGCATTCACGCAACTTCCAATGGGCTCGCACCCGCACCGATCTAAATTTACGGTACCATGTTGAAACTTGGATGTTTCAAAGGGGCACCGTTCGTTCATGTCAGCAAAGCACACCATCATTCCAGAGCCTTTTACTCTGCTGATCCACACCATGCAATTATCACTGTTGTGACAAATGTTGAGATCATCGGTAAGAGGTGGCTGTTGCCTCATAAGATCATGGGTAAGAGATGTCTCATGAGCCGCCCTGAACTCCTCTTGTCCTCATTGTCCTTAGCGCAGGGACTGTACCCTCCGCTGCTTTTGAGGCGAATCAGGAGTGGCTTCTGAGGCACCTATCCTAGGAAGTGGCTTTTGCCTCACAAGCCGCCCTGTCCTCCTCCTCGTCGTCCCTATTGCAGGGTCCCATACCCTCTGCTGCTTTTGAGGCGCCTCAGAAGTGGCTTTTGAGGCACTAACTGCAGCCCTGACCATATCATCACCATCATTGCAACGCCCGTAATCTCCGCTGCTCCACTGCTTGAAGCTGGTGCCCTCGTTGCCTCAGCCTCTTTATAAGCATGGCCTCTGCTCCTTTATTGTACACCCCTGTCCACCGATAAGCCTCCTGTTTTTCAGGGAGAATACATAAGGATGAGGGAGGAATGTGAAGAGGGAAAATGGACTGGAGTGTTCAATTTCAACACTAGATACGAGACACGAGCTTTGTGACACCAGCTTTGTGACACCAGCTTTGTGACATGAGATTTGTGACATGAGATTTGTGACATGAGATTTGTGACATGAGATTTGTGACATGAGATTTGTGACATGAGATTTGTGACATGAGATTTGTGACATGAGATTTGTGACATGAGATTTGTGACATGAGATTTGTGACATGAGATTTGTGACATGAGATTTGTGACATGAGATTTGTGACATGAGATTTGTGACATGAGATTTGTGGAGCGAAGCTAACAGCCGTGCACCAAGTCACTCGCCCTTGAAAACCCATAAGACTCGCCAAATACCCAATCTGATCAGCACGGAACCCCATAGGGATCCGAGACACCTAGCAAATTGAGCGCGGTGGAGTAGTCCAGCTCATCCTGTCCTCATGCATGCAAGTACGCTTTTGAGTCGACTCAAAAGTAGTCCAGCTCATGCTATCCCCATGCATGGCGTTTCAGGCGCCTCAAAGCTCATCCTATCCTCATGCATGCAAGTACCCATCCACACATCGCTCGCCTGAAAGTGCTCGATGTTCCATTGTAACTTCTTGATGGGAACAGCGTCCAGCCTCTCCTTTAATGTGTGCAGCTCGCCGGGATCCATGATGACCGACACGGTGGAGTAGTCCAGCTCATCGTCCCACCCAGGGGTTGTCGTGTTGTGGCTGACAGTTGACTGACTCGTACCCATCCACCCAGGGGTTGTCGTTTTGTGGCTGACAGTTGACTGACTCGTACCCATCCACCCAGGGGTTGTCGTGTTGTGGCTGACAGTTGACTGACTCGTACCCATCCACCCAGGGGTTGTCGTGTTGTGGTTGACAGTTGACTACTCGTACCCATCCACCCAGCATGACAGTTGACCATCATCTCACCTGAATTTGCTCAATGTTCCGCTGTAGCTTCTTGATCGGAACCGCATCCAACCGCTCTTTCAACGCGTGCAGCTGGTCGGAGTCGATGTTAACTGAAACAGTAGAGCAGTCCAGCTCATCATCCCAGGGGTAGCTGTGACTCCTCATTCATTCACTACATACAGGCCGACTTGTACCCACCCTCCCACCCTCCCTCCCACCCACCCACCCACCCACCTACCCACCCACCCACCCACCCACCCACCCACCCACCCACCCACCCACCCACCCACCCACCCACCCACCCACCCACCCACCCACCCACCCACCCACCCACCCACCCACCCACCCACCCACCCCCACCCACCCACCCACCCACCCACCCTCCCACCCACCCACCCACCCTCCCACCCACCCACCCACCCTCCCACCCACCCACCCACCCACCCACTCACCATGACCTTTCCTCACCTGAATTCGCTCAATGTTCCGCTGTAGCTTCTTCACTGGAACCGCATCCAACCGCTCTTTGAGAGTGTGCAGCTCATCAGGGTCAATGTTGACCGAGACTGTCGAGTAGTCCAGCTCATCATCCCAGGGGTTGTCGTGGCCTCGGAAGAACGTCACTGGGATGCACCCCGAGATGAGCGCCTGGAGTGGGGTGGGGGAAAGGGAAGGGGTGGGGGAAAGGGAAGGGGTGGGGGAAAGGGAAGGGGTGGGGGAAAGGGAAGGGGTGGGGGAAAGGGAAGGGGTGGGGGAAAGGGAAGGGGTGGGGGAAAGGGAAGGGGTGGGGGAAAGGGAAGGGGTGGGGGAAAGGGAAGGGGTGGGGGAAAGGGAAGGGGTGGGGGAAAGGGAAGGGGTGGGGGAAAGGGAAGGGGTGGGGGAAAGGGAAGGGGTGGGGGAAAGGGAAGGGGTGGGGGAAAGGGAAGGGGTGGGGGAAAGGGAAGGGGTGGGGGAAAGGGGAAGGGGTGGGGGAAAGGGAAGGGGTGGGGGAAAGGGAAGGGGTGGGGGAAAGGGAAGGGGTGGGGGGAAAGGGAAGGGGTGGGGGAAAGGGAAGGGGTGGGGGAAAGGGAAGGGGTGGGGGAAAGGGAAGGGGTGGGGGAAAGGGAAGGGGTGGGGGAAAGGGAAGGGGTGGGGGAAAGGGAAGGGGTGGGGGAAAGGGAAGGGGTGGGGGAAAGGGAAGGGGTGGGGGGAAAGGGAAGGGGTGGGGGAAAGGGAAAGGGGGTGGGAAGGAAAGGGAAGGGGTGGGGGAAAGGGAAGGGGTGGGGGAAAGGGAAGGGTGGGGGAAAGGGAAGGGGTGGGGAAAGGGAAGGGGTGGGGAAAGGGAAGGGGTGGGGGAAAGGGAAGGGGTGGGGAAAGGGAAGGGGTGGGGGAAAGGGAAGGGTGGGGGAGGGAAAGGAAGGGGTGGGGGAAAGGGAAGGGGTGGGGGAAAGTGGAAGGGGTGGGGGAAAGGGAAGGGGTGGGGGAAAGGGAAGGGGTGGGGAAAGGGAAGGGGTGGGGGAAAGGGAAGGGTGGGGGAAAGGGAAGGGGTGGGGGAAAGGGAAGGGGTGGTGGGAAGGAAGGGGTCGGGGGAAAGGGAAGGGGTGGGGGAAAGGGAAGGGGTGGGGGAAAGGGAAGGGGTGGGGAAAGGGAAGGGGTGGGGGAAAGGGAAGGGGTGGGGGAAAGGGAAGGGGTGGGGGAAAGGGAAGGGGTGGGGAAAGGGAAGGGGTGGGGGAAAGGTGAAGGGTGGTGGGGAAAGGGAAGGGGTGGGGAAAGGGAAGGGGTGGGGGAAAGGGAAGGGGTGGGGGAAAGGGAAGGGGTGGGGAAAGGGAAGGGGTGGGGGAAAGGGAAGGGGTGGGGGAAAGGGAAGGGGTGGGGGAAAGGGAAGGGGTGGGGGAAAGGGAAGGGGTGGGGGAAAGGGAAGGGGTGGGGGAAAGGGAAGGGGTGGGGGAAAGGGAAGGGGTGGGGGAAAGGGAAGGGGTGGGGGAAAGGGAAGGGGTGGGGGAAAGGGAAGGGGTGGGGGAAAGGGAAGGGTGTGGGGGAAAGGGAAGGGGTGGGGGAAAGGGAAGGGGTGGGGGAAAGGGAAGGGGTGGGGGAAAGGGAAGGGGTGGGGGAAAGGGAAGGGGTGGGGGAAAGGGAAGGGGTGGGGGAAAGGGAAGGGGTGGGGGAAAGGGAAGGGGTGGGGAAAGGGAAGGGGTGGGGGAAAGGGAAGGGGTGGGGGAAAGGGAAGGGGTGGGGGGAAAGGGAAGGGGTGGGGGAAAGGGAAGGGGTGGGGGAAAGGGAAGGGGTGGGGGAAAGGGAAGGGGTGGGGGAAAGGGAAGGGGTGGGGGAAAGGGAAGGGGTGGGGGAAAGGGAAGGGGTGGGGGAAAGGGAAGGGGTGGGGGAAAGGGAAGGGGTGGGGGAAAGGGAAGGGGTGGGGGAAAGGGAAGGGGTGGGGGAAAGGGAAGGGGTGGGGAAAGGGAAGGGGTGGGGGAAAGGGAAGGGGTGGGGGAAAGGGAAGGGTGGGGGAAAGGGAAGGGGTGGGGGAAAGGGAAGGGGTGGGGGAAAGGGAAGGGGTGGGGAAGGAAGGGGTGGGGAAAGGGAAGGGGTGGGGGAAAGGGAAGGGGTGGGGGAAAGGGAAGGGGTGGGGGAAAGGGAAGGGGTGGGGGAAAGGGAAGGGGTGGGGGGGAATTTATGGGGGAGCATGGGACTGAAGAGTAGTCCAGCTCATCATCCCAGGGGTTGTCGTGGCCTCGGAAGAACGTCACTGGGATGCACCCCGAGATGAGCGCCTGGAGTGGGGTGGGGGACGGGTTGGGGGAAGGCGATTGGGGGAAAGGGGGGGAGTCGGAAAGAGGTCGTCCAGAAGTTGAGCTCATCGTCCCAGGGATTGTCATGACCTCGGAAAGGGAGGCGATTGAGCTCATCGTCCCAGGGATTGTCATGACCTCGGAAAGGGAGGCGATTGAGCTCATCGTCCCAGGGATTGTCATGACCTCGGAAAGGGAGGCGATTGAGCTCATCGTCCCAGGGATTGTCATGACCTCGGAAAGGGAGGCGATTGAGCTCATCGTCCCAGGGATTGTCATGACCTCGGAAAGGGAGGCGATTGAGCTCATCGTCCCAGGGATTGTCATGACCTCGGAAAGGGAGGCGATTGAGCTCATCGTCCCAGGGATTGTCATGACCTCGGAAAGGGAGGCGATTGAGCTCATCGTCCCAGGGATTGTCATGACCTTGGATCGTAAGAACGTCACTGGGATGCATCCTGAGATGAGCGCCTGTGGGGTTTGGGGAGAGGGAAGTGGGGGGAGAGGGAAGTGGGGGGAGAGGGAAGTGGGGGGAAAGGAGGAATAAGGGGAAGGGAAGCAGGGAAAGAAGGGAATGCGTGTGGGTGGGAGAGGCAGGGGGAAAGCACGGAAACAATAAGTCCAGCTCATCGTCCCCTATGCTGCAGCATCATGGGGAAAGCACGGAAACAATAAGTCCAGCTCATCGTCCCCCGGGGTTGTCGTGCCCATGGAAGAAGAAAGAAAGAAGGCCTCTGGGATGCACCCTGGGATGAGCGCCTGTGGTGGGGGGGGGGGGGGGGGGGAGGGGATGTGGTGAGTGAGAGGATGAGGAGAAAGAGAAGGTAACGAGGAAAGGGAGGAATGAAGGGGGGTTTGAGTGAGGGCGGGAGAGGCATGGTGAGTGACATGGGGTGGGGGACATGGAAGACAGTGGTCAAGCTCATCGTCACACCATTCTAGTAACAACTGCGTTCTTATTACTGTATTGCAACACCACTCTAGTAAGTAACTCTAGTATCAACTCGCACCTTGAAGGAGCGGCTGGTCCACTGGGAGTGGCCCGGAGCCCACTAAATTGACTCGATTGACCATCACAGCCTCGCACCTTGAAGGGGCGGCTGGTCCACTGGGAGTGGCCGGGAGGGCAGATGCAGAAGACGCTCTTCTTCCACTCCTCGTCCGTCTCATACTCGCCCTTCTCCGCAAAGTCCCACCCCTCATGCCCTGCATCCATGTACATCTGGATGAAGAGAGGAGAGAAGGGGGTGGGGGAGAGGGGAGGAAAGAGGGGAGGAGAGAGGTGGAGGGACAGGGGGAGGAAAGAGGTGGAGGGACAGGGGGGGGAGAGGGGGAAAGAGGGGGGAAGGAGGTGGAGCCAAAATGGCAGATGCAGAAGACGCTCTTCTTCCACTCCTCGTCCGTCTCATACTCGCCCTTCTCCGCATGTCCCACCCCTCGTACCCCTCGTCCCACCGCAAAGTCCCACCCCTCGTACCCCTCGTCCCACCGCAAAGTCCCACCCCTCGTGCCCCGCGCCCTTGTACATCTGGAAGGCGAGAGGAGAGAGGGGGGCGGGGAAGGAGAGAGGAGAGAGGGGGGCGGGGAAGGAGAGAGGAGAGAGGGGGGCGGGGAAGGAGAGAGGAGAGAGGGGGGCGGGGATTGGGGAAGGAAGGAAGAGGGGATGAGTGGATGCAGATTTGTTTTTCTAAAGCCCCGCACCGTCACCACCGCCACCACGGTTGCCTCCAGAGTGGATGCAGATGTTACCACCGTAACACCTGCACTGCCTCCAGAGTGGATGCAGATGTTACCACCATAACACCCGCACTGCCTCCAGAGTGGATGCAGATGTTACCACCGTAACACCCGCACTGCCTCCAGAGTGGATGCAGATGTTACCACCGTAACACCTGCGCTGCCTCCAGAGTGGATGCAGATGTTACCACCGTAACACCCGCACCGCCTCCAGAGTGGATGCAGATGTTACCACCGTAACACCCGCACTGCCTCCAGAGTGGATGCAGATGTTACCACCGTAACACCCGCACTGCCTCCAGAGTGGATGCAGATGTTACCACCGTAACACCCGCACTGCCTCCAGAGTGGATGCAGATGTTACCACCGTAACACCCGCCGCCACCTTTCCTTTCTCCCTCGTCCTCCTCATCCGTCGCACACTCCCACTTTCCCCGGCAAGCCTCACCCCTCCTACCCTGCGCCCTGTTCCCATCCCACGCATTGCCCTTATCGGCCTCGCATGCGCGTTTCCCCCTCCCCTCTCGCTCCTCTCCCTCTCCCTCTCCCTCTCCCTCTCCCCACTCCCTCTCCCTCTCCTTCTCCCTCCCCCCTCACCCCTCCACCTCCACCCACCCACCTCTAACAACCCCTTCCGGATGTCATGGTTGTGATGTTGCAGCAAGGGGCTATTGAGTCGACTCAAAGGTCATCCCCTCCCCTCCCCTCTCCCCCTACCCCCCTTCCCCCAACCACCTTCCCCTTCCCCCCTCCCCACTCCCCCCACCCCGCTTCCCCTTCCCCCTTACCCCCCTCCCCCCTCCTCGCTTTCCTCCCCCCCCTCCCCCTCTCCCCTCCTCCCTCTCTTCTTCCCCCCACCACCCCACCTTCCCCGTCCCCCACTCCCCTTCCCTCCCCCCCCCCTTCCCCCCTCCCCTCTCCACCCACCACGCACCTCGTGTAACTCTTTCCGGATGTTGCGGTTGTGGTGTTTCAGCGGCTCGCCGTGGTGCTGCGACGCGCCGAACCGGAACAGCACCTTGATCTCACGCTCCGTCTCGAAGGGCGGCACGATGGGCAGGCGATTCGCGACCAGCGCCGGCACGACAATGTCGTGGTTCGGTACGTAGCACGGGATGTCCGGGACCGTCGGATCCGTGATCTTTG